AAGGCTGCACAGACTGGGGAAGTGGCTCCCAAGCTGTGCAGTATAGCCCAGCTAGAAGGGGTGGAGATTTATACACAGTGTCAGTTTTTCAGGAGACAGGAAAAGAAGGTAAGTAGAAAGAGACAAGAAATGGAGAAATGAAAAAAAGTAAAAAGGAAAAAAGAAAGAGAAAACAAACAAAAAGACAAAAAAAAAAAAAGCCCCTAGAGATCCCACCAGTGTGGTCATGCAGACCAGGGAAGCAGTTTCCCAGCTGAGTGGTGCTTCACAGCCTGTCAAGAAGCATAGATGACACAAGCAGTGTTCAAGAGAAAGGAGGGGGAGGAGGTGACAGGGACGGAAGAAACGAAAAGAGGCCAAAAAAAAGCAACACAGCAACAAAGAAATGGCAGTGACGAAGCCAGCCAGTGTGGGCAGGGTGAATCCGTGTGGCACGGAACCAGCACCTCCCATGCCACAGTCGTGGCCTGCCGGGAACCGGTAGATTGGCCCATTGGGAAGCCAGGAATCAGCCCCCTGGGAAACTGGGAATTGGCCCACCAAGAAGCAGTGAATCTGTCCTCCAGGAAGCTGGGACTTGACCCACCAGGAAGGTAAGAATTGGCCAGCTGGGAAGTGGTGAAGGTTGAGCAGGGGAGGCAGGGTAGGGGGTAGGAAAGCATGTCTCGCTGATTACCAGGTGCTCTGTCTCCTGCTGGGAGCTCCGTGAATCTGTTTTCCTGTACTCCGTGTCTGCTGATCTCTGATAGGAGTCCAAGATGGTGGATCTGTGTTACGTTAGCTGATAGGGGACCTCGGCTCATAACTCTCCTTGTTTTCTGTTCTGTGTCGGTTTCTTATTCCATTTGTTGCTTGGTTGAGTTCTTTATCTCTTCATTTGATGCTTAGGGTTCCAGGACTGACGTTTGTCTCTGTTTTACTTAGTTTTTCAGGTCTTTGCTATGGAGGGACAGCGTGGTGCTCCTGTCTATAGTGCCATGTTGACTCTGCCTCTGTGGGTGGAAATCTTTACGGAAGCAAACTGCCACATCTTTCTCCCTCAGAGCAGCTGGTGGGTTCAAACCTCCATCTTTTGGTTAGCAGTTGAGCACTTTATTCACTGCACTACCAAGGCTCCTTAGGAAGAACATAGACGTGCAAATTTCCAGTCTTATCCCCAGAGATTCTGATTCAATTAGTCTGGGTTGTGATCCAGGAATTTACATTTTTAATAAGCAGCCAGGTGGTTCTTATAGGTAGCTGGATGATTACACTTTGAGAAACACTGTTTTATTGAAAGATTTTTTTTTTAACATACTGACAGGTCTATTCTTTTTTCATTCCTCTTGATAATGTCTGCCATCATAATACTCTCTGAGGGCAAGGTACACAAGCCTAGAAAATAAACGGTTGGTTTGAGTAGTGGGTCTGATTCAATATTGTTGCTTTATCTGGTAGTGAATTCCTAAAACTGAACTCTGAGCATTTAATCATGTTGCCAGTCAAGGCTGTTGTGTTGTTGAACTCCAGGGGACACCCTCCTTGTGCTCTATGGGACGCTGTCTTCATCGCACAATCTGCAGCATAAATATGAGGTGGAGAGGGGTAAGAGAAGAGGCTGGAGAATTATCAGAGTGTGAGGAGCCTGGAAGCCACGTCCAGTGGTTTGGACTCTATTCTGAGGGAGATGGAAAGCTGGTGTAGGGTTTCCTGCAGGGGGTGACAAGATTAGTCTGCCTTGTGGAAAGATCCGTCTGGTTGCTGAATTTTAGAAAATGAACTCCAGGGAGGTGAGCCTAAAGGCAGGGAGACTAGAGGCTATTGAAGTAAGCCTGATGGGATATGAGAGTCTCCCAGACTAAGGGAGTAGGGTGAGATCTTGCTTATGATCCCACCTGAAGTCCACAAGGTCCTTGGAGCTTCAGACTTGTGTTGAAAACTAGTCAGTTTCACCTGGATATGACTAAAAAACCTGTTGCCATTGAGTCGATTCTGACTCATAGTGACCCTCTAGGACAGAGTAGAATTGCCCCATAAGGTTTCCAAGGCTGAAATCTTTAAGGAAGCAGACTGCCACATCTTCCTTTTGCAGAGTGGCTTGTGGGTTCAAACCGTTAACCTTTTGGTTAGCAGACAAGTGCTTAACCACTGTACCACCAAGGCAAATAGCTCTCAGAAATGTCAGGTTCAATGGGCCCAAAACTGAGCTCATCAGTGAAGCCCCCCTCTGTCCAGATTTGCACCTTCTTCTGTATGCCTCCTCTCTATTCACAGCACTGCTGTCCACCCAGTCTCCAGAGCCAGGGTCTGGGAGTCATCCTTGACTCTGTATCTCTAATTTTTCCACTCTGAACCAGTCGATATGTCCAGCTGATTTTATCCTTAACTGTTTCTCGCATCTGTGTTCTCTCCTCCATTTTGTCTCTCTGCCCTGGTTCAGGCTGCATTATATTTTAGTTTAGCAATGTCCTTCTCACTGGTGTCCGGGCCTCCATTCTTTTCCCCTCTCAAATTTATCATCTACACTCCCTGGGTGGAGCAAACGGTTAAGCACTCTACTACTAGCCAAAAGATCGGCAGTTCAAACCCATCCAGAGGTGCCTTGGAAGTAAGGCTTGACGATCTTTTTCCGAAAGGTCAAGCTTTGAAAACCCTATGGAGCAGTTCTACTCTGCAACACATAGGGTCCCATGAGTCGGAATCGACTCGACTCTATGGCAACTAGCTAACAACAACAACTGTTGAAATAATCTGTTTAAAATATAAATCTGATAACATCTGTTGCTTGCTTATAATCTTTCATTGGCTCCTCTGACTGTGCTTCCAAATATCCTGAGGAGCTTTCTAAAATAAAGATTTCAGGACCTCATGCCAAACTTAATCAGGATCCCCACAGACCTACTGGATGATTTTTGTGTGCAGCCAGATTTGGAAAGAACTGATTCACATTTTATATTCCAAGCTCCTTAGTATGGCTTACAAGGCTCCGGTGTTCTGGCTTTCTTCTTCTGCAAGGTTTATCTCTCACACCTCTCCACCTTGTTCATTGAGCTCTAGGAATGTCGAACAGCTTGTAATTCTCCAAAGCACCATTCTGTTTCGTGCCTCTGTGTTTTTGCTCATGTGATTTCCCTTTCCGCACCTGGGAAACTCAGTCACCCAGGAACTCTTCCCTGACCACCTCCCCTCTCCTTATCCCACTCTGCTGTTGCTAAGTGCCCTTTCTCTTGTTCCCATAGCATTCCATGCATTCCCGTATCAAAGCATTTGCCATATTATGTTGAAACAATCTGTTTAAATTTCTCTCCATGCTACCAGGTCCCAGCACAGGGCTAGGTATTCAATGAGTTTTTGTTGAGCTGAATTGAACTTGGGGTTAAGGGGTGGATAATAGGCTTCTGGGGAGAATGAAGTGCTACACGGATGCTGGGACAGAAACCTTTCAATAATTCTGTAATTTTGTAGGAATCTGCTTAGGTACTAAAAGTTAATTTGGACTTAAGTATGAACTAGGCCTAGGTCTCTTGATTTGCACACATTCTGAGCAATTTTTAAACACCATATAGGTAAAACTAGGAGACGTAGATGTTTTCCTCCTTAACTTGATCTCTCATGATTCAAAGAAAGGATAATATACTTAACTTTATGCCAATTGAAATTCTCTGAACTGTCTAATGCTTTAAAGGGATGATTGCAGGTATTTATTACTGTATCTCTACATTTGTTATTTGAATTCTTCATTAATCTTATGAGAGCAGCCAAGGTTGACAACAATTTTCTTATCTAAACTCATTACTGAGCAAACTCCACCGGGGTGAAGCCCTCAGTCACTTACTTGCCTGCTGACTCACCTTTGAAAACTCTCGTCACCCAGCGAGCTTGAAGTTCAACAGTCGGGAAAATGGAACCAAGGGGCTGGATGAGACCCATGCATGCAAGGGTTGGCTTCTCCAGGTGAGGGGGATATATGTATTTATAAAGAGATACCATATTATTCTCTACTTTAACAAGTGAATCTTCAAGGAAGGGAAAAGAGAAAGCATATCCTGTTGCAAAGACAATGACATCAATATCCTCCTCCATTGTTCCACCTTCAAAGATGGCAGAAGCCTCTGTGAGCTCCTTCACTCTCGATTTCACCTTGATGGCTCCATAAAGCAGACGACTCGGAAGATCATCATTCAGTACTGGCTCTTTCATAAGATACCTGAGATACATAGGAGAAAACACTCAGAAGAATCATTTGCTGAGGAGTCTTGAACCCTCTTTTCATTATACTGGGGTGGCTCTGAAAATTGAGGGATTTCTCTAAAATCCATAAAACCTGACTAGCTGGCCTTCCCTAAACCTTATTATCTGACTTTGTTCTCATGCTGAAAACCACTCCCCTCAAAAAATAGGGGGAAATATGTAGATGATGCAGATAAAAGATATTTCAAAGAGGGAGATACTCCCAGGGGCTTAGACAAAATGCTAGTGCCTATGATCAATCCCTGATTATTCTAGTGGTTATTATTTCACTTGAAGATAATTTTGGCCATGAATGTTTCTACTGTCTCTCTTATACCACCCACCATTTTTAACTATGTTGCTGTTTTATATCAACTCTATCTGATCACAACTAAGTAAATTTCTATCAGTTTTGAAACATTTAAAGGAATCAGTATAAAATTAATGTATAAAATTAGGTTTGGGGATATTTGTTGATACCAAATGTCCATGGTGTCTGTGTTTATGATAGTACGAATAATGGAGCACAATCTGCTTGCTTTTCTGCATTTCCCTTTTTCATAGATTTGGAACCATTTTCCTGTTTTTCTTTTTATAAAAGAATATGTGCCAATGATTGCATTTCAATTCTCAGAATACACAGTCACATGGTATTTGTTGAAAGACTCCCTTTCATCAAATCACTATTCTGTTTTTTAAAAGGAAGAGGTCTGTTATCAACTAAAGAAAAATGAACAACCATGTGTTTATAAGATCAATATTGTATAACTTTGAGAGCAAGAGATATTTATCTTTTGGCAAACAAACAATGAATAGGTTCTCAAAAGCTGCAAAACTGCCCATGGGAAAAAACTCTTATGGTGTACAGAGTTGACAAAGTATAAATGATCATACTGACCACTCTGAGCAGGATCACAGTAGAAGGTCCTGGACAGAGTGGGAGAAAAATGCAGAACAAAATTCAAACACATAAAAAGACCAGACTTACTGGTCTGATAGAGACTAGTGGAACCCCGAAACTAAGGCCCTTAGATACCTTTCAAACCTGGAACTGAATGTACTCCCAGAGACCATCTTTCAGCCAAACAATAGACAGGCTTATAAAGTGAACAATAACACCTGTGAGGAATGTGCTCCTCAGAACAATGAACCACACCAGACCAAAAGGGCAGCATTTGCCCAAAAACAAAGTTCAGAAGGCAGGAGGGGGCAGGAAAGATAGAAGAATAGAAACAGGGAACTCAGGGAGGAAGTGGGTAGAGTGCTGTCACGTGGAGGGGGTTGCAACTAATGTCTCAAAACAAAATATTTATAAATTGTTGAATGGGAAACTGATTTGCTCTGTAAACTTTCACCCAAACCACAATAAAATGTTAAGAAACAATAAAAGACAAAGTATAAACGATCAGATGGAGAATTTGGGGCATGTTTTCTCTATACTTTCAATGTAAATCATAACCATGAAATCTCAGAGTAGGAAGGACCGTAGAGGCATTCTAGAACAACTTTTCTTCCCAAGCAAGAATCCCTATACCTTCTCTGAAGAGAAGGTCACAGTCTCTTGAAGGTGCCTTCTCCAGTGCTGAACAGCTTTAGGTATTGGTAAAATTCTGTTCAATCACCCTAGTTCTGCTTTCTGGAGCAGCTGATAACATCTCTACTTCTCCTTAAACATTCTTTTTTTTTTTTTAAAGGCACACAGGACAAATTTGATATTCAAACTCCAGGATCTATATGATATTCATTCTAGGTTGTAGTACAAACTATCATGTTAGCAATTTGGAGTTTTGCATAGAGAGGCACCCTCAGACAACCTTGCTTACCAATGAGTATACCATAAAAAAATTAAAATAACTCTATTTGTTTTGAGGCTTAAGACCATAATTTTCATGGTTGAACCACTGATTCATCTGTTGTTCCATCATCCATTTCACAACCATTCGTGGCAGGACATTTCGGAGCATGGATCTAAAGTGGGTATGGAACAGCATGTCCCAAGGATAGCCATCGCCAGAGATATGGCTCAAGACCCAGGACCCTTGTCTGGTGCTGAGAAACACCTGGTAAGCAAAAAAGAATGCAGTTGAAATTAGGGCATTTGTCCCATTTGGGAGTGAGCTACTGTGTTGGTGATGTATCACGTGTATGACCCTAGTAAAAGCTAAGATTGAAAAAGTGAAGTACCTCCTAGTTATCACTGCTCTGTGGCAGCTTTATGATAAAAGCAGGTATCTAGCTTTTACGATAAAGATCAATGTTGTATAACTCAGAACGCAGTCTATAACAAAGTCTTGAAAACTTCATGGAGACATGAGCAAAATCTCTAGGCTAGTACCAATGATAGGATCCACAAGTCTACCACGTGTACAGTTGTGTTTTGCTGCTGCTTACAGAAAGGCTCTTCTTCCTCCTCTCACCATGTCCACCTGCCTCCAGTTTCTCTTCTAGTGAAGGCGAACAATTACAATCATTGGAAATGTCAATTACAATGACTGGAAATGATGAAAGGCTAATGACTATACAGGCATAAATGTATGAGTCTGTATACCCTCAGAGGAGGAATGACAAGGAAAATCAGTCCCCTTCCATAATTAAAACAACTTTATGTTATGTATTTTAAAAGTTAAAATTGAACGCATACTGTGATTGCCTTTCTTTTCAAGTATACATTTGAATTTCCTTTCAGATGGATTCCTTACCTTGTTTACTCAGATGTCTCTTGTTTTCATAATGTACATTTAAATCTCTTCAAATACATATTTTATCTGGTTTACTGTTACTCCTCCCTGCTGTCAAAATGTTTATTTGAATTGCTTCTCAAATATTTGCATACCATTTTCTGAGTTATTTGACTTTGGCTTTCCTTGATAAACAATTTCATGATTTACTTGCAAGCAAACTGATTCACTTAAGATGTTAACGTCATGGAGTCTGGAGCCAGACTGCCTGAGTTTAAATCCCAGCGCCACTATTTACTACCTGTGTTACCTTGGGTGAGTTATTTCAACCTTTCTGCCTCAGTTTCTTTCTTGGTAAAATGGGGATAATAATAGCACTTATCTCATGGGACTATTTTGTGGATTAAATGAGATGATATATATCAAGTACTTAAAATATTGCCTGGCAAGTGATAAGTATTGTTAACTATTATTATTTTATAAATTTAGACTAGGGGAGGGGGTCTCACAGGTAGTTTCTTAATATGGCATATGGCATCATAAACCACCAGTTGCTGTGGAGTCTATTCTGACTCATGGTGACCTCATGTGGGTCAGAGTTGAATTGATCTCCATAGGGTTTCCAATGGCTAAATTTTGGGAAGTAGGTCACCAGGACTTTCTTTCAAGATGCCTCTGTGTGGTTTCGACCCTCCAACCTTTTGGTTAGCAGCTGAGTGTGTTAATAGGCTGACGTTTTACATAGCAAGACCCATGCAAGGCATTGCCTCTTGGAATCCAAGATTTGATATCTTTGGAGTATCTGTTCTAAGTCCAAATTACTGACCTGACAACATGTAGTGGTCAAGTATGAATCTTTTCTTGGTCAATTGCTAAACTGGATCCTATCATCTTACTCCATCCTACTTCCTGCCTCAAGCTTTGCAGGTGTTCCCAACAGGAAGGAGACTATAGCCAGTGGCTCCACCTGTTCCCAAACCCTCACACTTCCGGACTCTGCTCTGCTCCAAGACTTTACAGTAAGGACCTCCCCATTTGCTCATCACACTGAGGTCTCAAAGCTTTGAAAAGTGAAAATTGGTTTCTTTTTACAAAAAAGATGAGGACCCCTTGGGTCTAGTACATCTCTTTCTGGTATTAGTGACCTGCTCTGTCCTCCAACCGGCACTGGCTGTTAGATGACTCTGGCAAGTCCCAACATAATCCCTTTATTAACCTGCTGGGGAGACACCATGTTTATTTATCACGTCTGCTGCTGGGCATCTAGGGCCCTGGAAGTGTGAGTCTCAGGACAGGAAAGTTTGCTGGTTGTGGATGGTGGCCATGGTCAGTCCTGTGTGGCCAGAAGATACCAGGTGAGGAGGCTAGTGATAGAGTGAGAGGACTCATGGGTTCAGAGCCCTGGTGACAGTGAATGTTTGGGGGAGAGGAATGTTAGCTATTTTTCCATCTTTGTCTATGTCTGTCCTTCCAGAAGCGTTTTATTCTCTGTCATTCCCAGTTTTCTCTGTCAGCATTATCTACTTTTTGTACCATCTGCCTTCTTGGTAGCTCAGCTGGTATCATTCCTGAGCAGGTGCAAAGCTGACAGAGGTTGGAAGACCTCAGGGAGCACCTAAATATCTATAATCTTGGTTAGGAGTCTTATTATTTATGTAATCTTTCTTTTGATGATCCTTAAATAACTGAGGATTATCTACATTTCAAATATAATTCAAATATGCACTAAATTTCTAAAACCTGTTGTCATCGAGTCGTTCCTGACACAGAGCGACCCTATAGGACAGAGTAGAACTGCCCCATAGGGTTTCCAAGGAATGGATGGTGGATTTGAACTGTTGACCTTTTGGTTAGCATCCTGAGCTCTTGATCACTGCACTGCACCCCAAAAATATGAGCAGATCAACTCCTCGTTAAGCCTCTGGGTAGAAACAAGGCCTTTCGTACTGAAAGTCAGTAGGTCCAAACTTCCCAGTTAAAAAATTAAGGAACCACAACTCAGAGAAATGAAATGGCTTGCTTTAGATTCCACGGCTGGTTAGTGGCAGAGATGGGAGGTAAACTTTGGCCTCTCGACTTCCAGGCTTCCTATGAAACCACATTGGGCAACCTATCAACTAATTAATAAGTAATAGAGCCTCATTTGTGTTGCTGGGGTTCTCCAGTATGTCCTCCCTCTTTCCTCTCCTTCATTGTACAAGGTAAGCAGAGAGCATCGCACCTGAGCAGCCTTCTTACTCAGCTCCACGGCAATATCTGAGGCCGAGTTCCCTATTCCAATCGTCAGTATGCGCTTCCCCTCAAATCCCTCTGGGTGCTTGTATTGGCGGCTATGGAAATACTGGCCTTTGAACTTCTCGATACCTTCAAGGAGAAGAGAGAAATTCATGAAATTGTGAGTAAGCAACTAAGTCAAGTTAATTTCAGTAAAACTCCATTGTGTCAGCTCTTCCTTTCTGGGGTCGATCTTTTGTTCTTCCTCTTTTCTGCTGCAAGACCAACCAGCAACCTCAAAGTATAAAACAAATAAGAAATGCTAGGTTATGCATACGGTACGGGACCAGAGGGGTTGATTTCAAAGGGTAGCTTATATTTTTACAGAAACAAATGATTTTTGATGAATTAAGAGACAGTCAGATGCTGGCTTTTGACTGTCAATTTTTGCCTACTTTTGGACTGCATAATGATACTTTAATGTCATATAGCATTTTTAACTATTTTAACTATTTCTAAAATACTTTAACTATTTCTTAAATACTTTATATAGTGCTGTTACTGCAATTGTACGATAATTAGGATAATATTTATCATTCTTATTTTGCAAAAGCAAATAAGAACTCTATTAAACTAAAAACCTGGAACATAAAAGTTGAGGAATGGCCTCCAGGTTGCAGTAAGTCAGTAATGGTTGTGTGCCATTGAGTCGATTCCAACTCATAGCGACCCCACAGGGCAGAGTAGAACTGCCCTATAGGGTTTCCTAGGATGTAATCTTTATGGGAGGAGATCGCTAGGTCTTTTCTCGTGTGGAGCCGCTGGGTGGGTTTGAACTACTGACCTTTCAGTTAGCAGCCCAGCACTTAACCACTGCACCACCAGTAACAGGTGGTGGTTAATCACAGACGAGCCTCTCTGTGCCCTTTTGTGTTTACCACTTGTACACTTTCCAGCAATACTTAACTTTATTATTTTCCTTTGAAAGAACCATTAGATTATTGGTTCTCAAAGTGTGGTCCTTGGGTCAGCAGCATCAGCATCACCTGGGAATTTGGTGTTAAGTGACGTTGAATTGATTCTGACTTACAGTGACCCTAAAGGACAGGGTAGAACTGCCCCATAGGGTTTGCCAGGTTGTAAACCTTTATGGGAGCAGATTGCCATGTGTTTTCTCCAGCGGAGCACTTGGTGGATTCAAACTGCTGAACTTTTGGTTAGCAGCCAAGCACCTACTCCTACCGAATCAGAAATGCTAGAGGTGGGGCCCACCAGTTTGTGTTTTGAGAGGCCCTCAAAGTGATTCTGATGCCATCTAAAGCCTGAGAACTACGCTTTAGATCAGTAGGTCTCAATCCTGGCTGCATGTTAAAATCACTTGAGCAGCCTTTACTTGACTTAGCCCTACCCCATGTCAATTGAATCTTTAGGGGTGGAGTCCCAGCCATCAGGACTTTTAGAAGCTCCACAGGTGATTTTAATTGAGGCCTGGATTGAACACCACTGTTCTAGATGTTTTCCCCAGGGACTTGGGAAGGGCCTGTGGACATCAAGACAGATGGCTGTAAGGTTTCCGCTGCTGCCTGCCACTCCTCTCCTGCACCCCATCCCCATCACTGTCCAGTAGCAGCCCTTCTTTCTAGGGACTCTCCCCAGCAACCCCTGTTCATGGGCACGGCTCCAGGGAAAGGCCTCTAAGGATGTAACAAAGTCACAGGTGTTTGGCAGGATAGAAAAAGGCCAATGTAGGCACATGGCTAAAAGGGCCTCTCCAAAAACTTAGGTGAGAATTCTCTGAAATTTGGGGGAAGATTTAGCAATTTTGAAGCAAGCTATCCCTGTATAATGAAGACCCAAAAAGGTCAACAGATACAAAGGTAGTGGTTGGAGTTTTTCATCTTTTGAGCTCTGTGCTGATCTTAATGTTATCCCAAGTCCCAGCTGCTAATCCTGCCTCTCAGTCCAAATGCATTTAAAGTCCCCAGACATGTGCTCTAAAATCTGAGCACCCTGTGGGCCTTACCTGGAAATGACTGCAGTGGGATGTGAGGTAGGATGTGGTGGCCACTGCAGACCATGACTGCATCAAAGACCTCACTTTGTTCCTTGCCATTGCTCTTGGTAACAATCTCCCATTGGCCAGAGGATGAGAAATCTGGGCGTTTTTTCACAATGAGGGTGGTTGTCTTCAACAAACAGAGTGCATCATTCAGAATTACTCTGGGCATAACGTGGGCCTTGTACAGTGTTCTCAAAGTGAGGATGAGTAGAGTGCAGTGTCTAACTGTTTAAGTTTCATTTGACTCCACTGCAAGCCACTTAAGGCAAAGACTGCTAAGTATGCCCTTCTCATTCTTCTTTGGCAGAGAGCTAGGCTGTTTTACAAAAATTAGCTCTGAGGCTATTCTGTTTTGTGTAAGAGGCCTGACTCAGCAGTGGGAACCTGTCTGTTAAGGGTGTGAAGTATTGAATAAGGACTTGAGAGAGAGAAAGAAAAGGAAGGCAATATCTGGGCAAAGATACAAAACACGTGTCAATCATTCCCATGACCGCATGGTCAGCAGTTATGTGGACTTTGCTTGATAGAAGACATTTCATGTGAAGCACTCTGCATAGTGCCTGGCACACAGCCAGCTCTCAAGGAATGGTAGTTGTTAACATTTTTTATTATTAAAACAGAGTACATTGTGTTGGCAATACAGTTCGTGATCTCATTTGAATGAAATAATTTATTGGTACTTGGATTTATTAAAATAGCTTACTTCCTATAAAAGGGCTATTGTTTTTTTTTTTTTTTTTTGAGTACATAAAGGTTGCATGTCTGCTTCATTTAAGAAACAAAGATAAAAATTCAGGATGTTGAGTGAGAATATTCTTTTTTTCTTGTTGAGTATTGCTTTTGAACATTGATATAGTGCTGGAAGATGAGCCCCTCAGGTTGATAGGCACTCAAAATAAGACTCGGATAGAGCTGCCTCCTCAAAGTAGAGTTAATCTTAATGACGTGGATGGAGTCAAGCTTTTGAGACCTTCATTTACTGATGTGGCACGTTTCAAAATGAGAAGAAACAGCTGCAAACATCTATTAATAATTGAAATGTGGAATGTGCAAAGTACGAATCTAGGAAAAGTAGAAGTCGTCAAAATGAGATGGAACACATAAACATCAATAACCTAGGCATTACTGAGCTGAAATGGACTGGAATTGGCCGTTTTGAATTAGACAATCGTATGGTCTACTATGCCAGAAATGACAGATTGAAGGGCAAAGGTGTTGCGTTCACTGTCAAAAACAATGCTTCAAGATCTGTCCTGAAGTGCAGTGCTGTCGGTGATATAAGTGATAAGAACAGTTAATATGACTATTATTCAAATTTATGCACCAACCACTAAGGCCAAAGATAAAGAAATTGGAGATTTTTACCAACTTCTGTAGTCTGAAATTTATCAAACATGCAGTCAGGATGCATTGATAATTACTGGTGATTAGAATGTGAAAGTTGGAAACTAAGAAGCACTGGTAGTTGGAAAATATGGCCTTGGTGATAGAAATGATGCCGGAGATCACATGGTAGAATTTTGCAACACCAATGACAACTGCATTGTAAATACCTTTTTTCAACAGCGTAAATGGCTACTATACATGTGAACCTCGCCAGATGGAATACACAGGAATCAAATTGACTACACCTGTGGAAAGAGATGATGGGAAAGCTCTATATCATCAGTCAGAACAAGGCCAGGGGCAGACTGTGGAATAGACCATCAATTGCTCATATGCAAATTCAAGTTGAAGTTGAAGACAATTAGAACAAGTCCACAAGAGCCAAAATACAACCTTGAGTATATCCCACCTGAATTTAGAGACCATCTCAACAATAGTGTTGATGCATTGACCATTAATGACGCAAGACCAGATGAGTTATGGAATGACATCAAGGACATCATACATGAAAAAAGCAAGAGGTCATTAAAAGGACAAGGAAGAAAGAAAAGACCAAAATGGAGGTAGAAGAGACTCTGAAAGTTGTTCTTTAATGTAGAGTAGCTAAAGCAAAAGGAAGAAATGATGAAGTAAAAGAGCTGAACAGAAGATTTCAAAGGGCGGCTCGAAAAGACAACGTAAAGTATTATAATGAAATGTGCAAAGACCTGGAGATAGAAAATCAAAAGGGAAGAACATGCTTGACATTTCTCAAGCTGAAAGAACTGAAGAAAAAATTCAAGCCTCGAGTTGCAATATTGAAGAATTCTACAGGGAAAATATTAAACGATTCAAGAAGCATCAAAAGAAGATGGAAGAAATACACAGTCACTGTACCAAAAAGAACTGGTTGATGTTCAGCCATTTCAGGTGGTGGCATATGGTCAAGAACCGACGGTACTGAAAAAAGAGATTCAAGCTGCACTGAAGTCACTGGGAAAAAAACAAGGCTCCAGGAATTGACAGAATACCAACTGAGATGTTTCAACAAACAGATGCAGTGCTGGAAGTGCTCGCTCATCTATGCCAAGAAATTTGGAAGACAGCTACTTGGCCAATGGACTGGAAGATATCCATATTTGTACCCATTCCAAAAAAAGGAGATCCAAAAGAATGCAGAAATTATCAAACAATATCATTAATATCACACACAAGTAAAATTTTGCTGAAGATCATTCAAAAATGGTTACAACAATACATCATCAGGGAGCTGCCAGAAATTCAAGCCAGATTCAAAAGAGGACGTTGAACAAGGGATATCATTGCTGATGTCAGATGGATCCTGGCTGAAAGCAGAGAATACCAGAAAGATGTTTACCTATGTTTTATTGACTATGCAAAGGCATTCGATTGTGTGGGACATAACAAATTATCAATAACAATTTGAAGAATGGGATTTCCAGAACACTTAATTGTGCTCATGAAGAACCTGTACGTAGATTAAGAGGCAGTTGTTCAAACAGAACAAGTGGATATTGCATGGTTTAAAGTCAGGAAAGGTGTGCATCAGGGTTGTACCTTTTCACCATACTTATTCAACCTGTATGCTGAACAAATAATCTGAGAAACTGGACTATATGAAGAAGAACGGGGCATCAGGATTAGAGGAAGACTCATTAACAACCTGCATTATGCAGATGACACAACCTTGCTTGCTGAAAGTGAACAGGACTTGAAGCACTTACTGATGAAGATCAAAGACTACAGTCTTCAGTATGGACTACACTGCAACATAAACAAAACAAAAATCCTCACAACTGGACCAAGAAGCAATATCATGATAAACGGAGAAAAGATTGAAGTTGTCAAGGATTTTATTTTGCCTTGGATAATAATGCCCATGGAAACAGCAGTCAAGAAATCAGACAACGCGTTGCATTGGGCAAATTGGCTGCAAGAGTTTAAAGTATTAAAAAGCAAAGATGTCACTTTAAGGACTAAGATGTGTCTGACCCAAGCCACGGTATTTTCAATACCTCATATGCATGTGAAAGCTGGACAATGAATAAGGAAAACCTAAGAATTGATGCCCTTGAGTTGTGGTATTGGCGAAGAATACTGACTATACCATGGACTGCCAGAAGAATGAACAAATCTGTTTTGGAAGAAGTACAGCCAGCCAGAATGTTCATTAGAAGCAAGGATGGCAAAACTTCGTCTCACATACTTTGTACATGTTATCAGGAGGACCAGTGACTGGAGAAGGGCATCATGCTTGGCAAAATAGAAAGTCAGCGAAAAAGAGGAAGACCCTCAATGAGATTGATTGACAGTGCTCAAACATAGCAACGATTATGAGGATGGCACAGGACTGGGCAGTGTTTCGTTCTGTTGTACGTAGGGTTGGTATGAGTTGGAACTGACTTAACGACACTTAACAGAAATAACAATTTTTTTGAGGAAGCACAGGAAAAGGAAATTCCACGTGTATTTCAAAACTATCCGGCCATCTTTATGCTTCTAGAGATTGCATCCAGAAAAAAGAAAAAATTAGGAAAAATAGTTGCCACAGCCTTCTGAGATGAATGGAGAGCAGTGAGTTTATTCAACGCATTTTTAAAAGAAATCCCATTTCTATAGAGAAGGTAAGGAAATAAAACAGCAGTTTGATTTCCTTCATATGTCCTTCCAAGGGAAATAAAGCTAAGAGTATTCAATGGTAACAGATACTAGTTTAAATGCAGTTTCACCATCTGTATCATCATCATTCAAACCTTTCAATTTTAGCAGATGGTTTTCCTCTTAAGTTAATGCATATAATCCATAATATTGGGTACAATGATACTACTTTTTGGGTTTTCTATAATGCTCTCATCTTTCAGAAAAGAATTGGATTGGGATACTTTGTTTTATTCACAATTTCTTTCATTATCAGAGCAACTATCGATTTAAATGTGAGCTGTAACATAGACAAGCCCATTCCCCTAAAATACAATACCTGGAACTGAATATATTTTAGGAGATCAAACTTTTTGGCAACAATTCTGAAGTAGTCCAGAAGCTTTGAGTTGTGCAGGAAATTTGGGAAATGTTCAGGCATTGGAAAGTCACTAAAACAAGACATTTCTTTGCTGGTGTCAGTAATGACAGATTTATAGATACTTGCTCGGCCATCTTCAACATTTTCCTAAAGGATCAAATAAAATGATTAGTGATTATCATGCATTAAAAAATCCCTTGGTTCCCTGTTCTTTCTACGTCTCACATCCTGGTGATGTGATCCTCTTCATTGCTGAAGTATGACTGTAATGTTTGGGTAATGGGGTGCAGCATACATGCTCCATCATCCTGTGTGATGGGGCCTGGTTGTTTCACCTTTCGGTGTTGCTCCCTGGGAACTCTACTGACAAGGGAGGGGTGGCAGCTCTTTGGGCACATTGCAGGATATTTAGCATCCCAGGGCTCTCCCCATTAAATGCCAGTCATTGTGACAACCAGCCTCTCTTTCTAGTCTTTCCCTGGGGAGGCTAAATATTCCCTCTTTCCCACCTCTTTGAGAACAAATAAATGCTGGGACACAAGTCAGAGAACATAATAGAGAATTTCAAGTAAAAGAATACTTCTGGTGGCAGGGAGTTTTCACATCTGGATGTGACTATCTCTGCATTCACTTCGTGCTTTATAACAAATCAACGTTCCTCAGGTGACACAGCACTGATACCAAAAGAACCTTAAATTGATTCTGAACATTGGTGAGTGTGTGTGGGTAAACTGGAGGCAGCACATGCTACGCTCTGTTTATAAAGTCCTGTACCAGAAGTTCAGGGGGCATCGGTGGTTCAGCGGTAGAATTCTCACTTTACATGCAGGAGACCAGGGTTCAGTTCCAGGCCAGTGCACTTCAAGAGCAGCCACCACCTGTCTGTCAGCGGAGGCTTGTGTGGGTGTTTCTATGACACTGAACAAGTTTCAGCAGAGCTTATAGACTAAGACAGATGAAGAAGAAAGGCCTGGCAGTCTATTTTCAAAAATCATCAGTGAAAACCCTCCGGATCACAATGGTCTGATGTGCAATTGATCATGGGGATGGTGCAGGACTGAGCAGGGTTTCATCCCATTGGGCATGGGGTCACCATGAGTAGGGGACTGACTTGACAACAGCTAGCCACAATAAAAAGTGCGCTCTGCATAACGTCCCTCACGTTAAATCGTAAAAAGAGCAACAGATGGTGATTTCGTGTCCCTGAGACCAACATACTATCAAAGAGGCTTTTATAAGGAAATTTATAAAATGCTACCCAAGAACTCCTCAGTAGATGCTTCTGCATATGCAGAGACTAAAGCATAAGCTTGACAAATAGTTATTTTGACTCAGATGGAGTATAGAGAAATAAAAAGCTTGTAGGAGCTCATTACAGTCACGTGTCACTTAACATCCATGAGACATTCTGTGAAATATGACTTTATGTAATTTGAGCATGTGAACACCAAATTATAGGCAGTCCTCAGGTTACGGACAACTTGTACTTAAGAACAGATTGCCATAAACCCTATTAAAAATTTGAGTTAAATACATGTGATAGTGCATAATAACGAACAAACGCACTACTTTGTGATGCTCGTGAAAACATTACGTGTCTTGGAAGTGTTTCTTAAGTATTTTATATACATAGAAAAACCAAACCTGTTGCTGTTGAGTCAATTCCGACTCACAGTCACCTTACAGGACAGAGTAGAACTGCTCCATAGGGTTTCCAGGGAGCTGCTAGTGGATTCAAACTACCAACCTTTTGGTTAGCAGCCAAGCTCTTAAACACTGCGCCACCAGGGCTCCTTTATATGCATTGAAAGGTAAAATATACACTATATACTAAGACAAACGTTTGACTGACCGTTGCTAAATAAGAACTGTGTGTACCTGTTCTGACTTACCTGCAAATTTGACTTAAAGACAGACTTAGGAATGGATCTCTTTCATAACCTGGAGACTGCCTGTATACAAGAAGCATGAGATACATGTGTTGCGTACGGGAAGCTGGTACGTTCGCTATGTCTGGTTACATCCACTACATCTCATTCTTCAATCGGGATTTCTGAACTCTGTTGTAACCTTATGGGACCACGGACGTATATGTGGTCAGACGTTGCCCAAAGAAATTTTGTGTGGTGCGTGACTGTAGTTGCAAAATATTACTAAGTCTTGCATAAACAGTGCGATAGTCTCTTCCACAGAATGTAAATGAAAGTATTCACTTATAATCCTGCCACCACAATGAGTCAATTGTCCATGTTTTTTTCTCACCATTATTCATATAAACTCATTATTTTGCTGCTAGATTTTTAAACTTTGTCCTTAGACTTTTTGGCAATACTGAAAGAGGCAGGTTGGACTGGTAGGAGGAGCCTGAGCTTTGGAGTCAGACATGAGTTTGAATCCCTCTCTTTCAGATTGTGTGAGCCTGGGTGAATCAGTACCCCTGAGCCTCAGTTCTCTCCTCTGTAAAATGGGAATATGCTATGTGCATAAGTAGAATCAATGATTATTGAAGAAGCTATAGCTTCAGCAAAGCTGTCAGCTACAGTCCACTGTTCACTGCAATATAAGAAAGGCACCTATGGTAGCTGCTTTGATGGACACCAAAGTAACTGACACAGGCACGCACGCTATCACACGTGGGCTTTCCAGCATTTTCTGTACAAGAAGTTACACTTGATTTTAAAGATTAAAAAAAGTGTAAACTTGCTAATTCTTGCCCCTTTTATCAGCCAAGCTCTTTATATGTATTGGGTGTCACTGTGTTCCAATGTCATGGATTATTAGCACCAATATGGGTCACCGAAGCTGAAATGATGTTTGTGCTAAGATCATGTCATATAAGAGCAAAATGTAGAATTCTTGCTAAATAAGTTTGTAAACATCCTCCTCTGTTACTCCTTCTTTCCCTTTCTTTCTTCCTCATTAATGAATTCATTCATTTATTCACTGATGCCAACCACAGGCCAGGGGTCAAATACTTTTTTCCCGAGCAGTGTGTTTAACTTTTCTAGTCCAGAATCAAGTCTCAAATGCTAAATTTGTTAAAATTTCGACGGCTTGGTAAAAGCTAGTCAGGTTAGGGTATGCGAATTTTCTAGGAGGTTAGAATTTAGTGTGGTGGTATTGCTGACTGTATGTAAGCATTAGGATCTGAAGGGAGTTTATATTGGAATATGAAAGGGTTTCTGTCTCTTACACAAGGATACGATGATCTGAACCATGAATGAATAAATCATGGTATTTTTATTTTTTCAAACATTAGGTTCAGATTGTGTAATACTACAGTCAAAATTATTTGTAAGCTGGATGTTTTAGCATGACTGAACATAATGTCCTTGGCAAGACTGAATGTCTAAGTTTCTCATCCAAGAAGATTCTCAAAATAGGAAATTTTTCATAAAGTACAGAAATAATAATTTCTCTTAAGACCAGATAACTTTATAAGTAGTGCAGAGTAAAGTTAAACATGAGGGCTCTGTAGTTTGACTGACTGGGTTGATATCTTAATTTTGCTAACTTTAACAGCTCTGCTTACTTGGGCAAATTACATAATTCAGTTTCCTCATCTGTGAAATGGGACTTATTAATAATCCTAATATAAAATAGCCATTGTGAGGCTTTAATGGGATTAGATAAGGTACTTAGCACAATCTCTGGCTCTAAATAAGAGCTCAATAAATGCTCGCCTCTGTTGCTCATATTACAGGCCAGTAAAGTTAATCTTACTAAACCAGCCAGTGTTCTGAACCAGCTAAATTAAGATTGACTGCTGTAGTATAGCCAAAATGTTAGTTTTTTTCAAGTACCAAAGAATTGACTTTAAAATGTGGTTGGCTCCCCTGTAAGGTCAAATTTAAGGGGCTTCAAGTAATGAAAAGAACTGGTTCTGATGTCTTAGTCTCTATAGTCAGAGCAAGACCTTTATTCCGAGGGGGTTTCCCTGTATAGTTTGTCAGCAATCACAGGTGACATCAAAATTCTATTTCTGAAGATCAAGTGATAATCTTTATTGTTGGGCTAAAAAATTGGTGGACAGTATTAAAAAGAAGCATTTGTATGTATATGTGCTTCTTGCTACATTTATTTTGCTGAAGAAGGCGTCTATGTGTTTATGCAAATCTAGGTAAAACTGGCTGAGCTAGCCCAGGGTTGTGAAGGGAAGATGATTCTTAGTGACTTAATACAAAAATGTATGTCAGATGTCTATTCTGGCTCAGGCGTTGAGCTTGGAGTTGAAGATAAAATGCAAATAGGATAAACACGGTTTCTATATTTGTTGAGATTATCATTATATTGAATTAATATGCTCAATTAGATGTATATATGGTGACAAGAAAGAACTGAGCACCAATCAAGTTTGAATAATTTATAATTATTTGGAGAAAAACTTTCAGTATTGCCTTGTTTATATATATATACAATGCCTTGTGCAAAGAACAATTGTCTGCACATAGGTTTCTACATGATAACACTGGGTGGGAAAGTGCCTTCACAGTGCTTCACTATTCATCGTTTTTAGGATTTAGACTGTAGAATATTTTAAACTCTCTTATATCCCAGAAGTTTAGTGCATGAAAAATTCTTTCATTTAAATTGGATCTATTTCTGAAAAATCCTTTGTGTTTTCTTTATAAGCCTTGTGCCATTTTTAAAATTTTGAGTAATTCTACCACTCACCAGCTATGTCATCTCAGGCAAAATGTTTAACATTCCTGGGCTTTACTCATTTTCACATGTAAAACTAGATGTTTGCTTGGATTACCATTAAGTTTCTTTCTAGTTCTAAAATCCTGGAACTCTGTAACTTTAATTTAGTTAAACATGTCCGTTCCCAGCCTCCCCACCAAGACACCAGTCTGTCTAAGCAGGCAGGCATCCCAGACTCAATGGCAGAGCCAACATTTTGATCTGAGATCTTTCCCACTTTTCTCTCCATAGATAGGGAGTGCTGGAGGAAGACATGAGCTGGGGAGTTGCCACAAAATACTGTTTTGATTCGGAAGTTTCAGGGACCTAGCGGCTTCAGACGTTTCCAGAGTGTATCAGAATCACCCGTTCAGCTTTACAAATATAATGTTTAGTCTACTTGGTGGAACAAACTTATAAGGCAAACTGAGAAATATCATTATATTGACCTCTACCAATCAGTA